GTTCTACTACAGCCCCATGCCTATCAGTTCTCCACTCTACCCTATTAGTCCTGGGGTTAGCTTCTCACTAAAACAAACCTGACCTTCCAGGCACACTCCACTCTGATGCCAAGAGATGAGAATGAACATGACCCAGAGCCTGACTTCTACAAGTTTATCTTCTTCACCAGCCTACAAACACTTGCACTATAAACACTTGCACCTATACTGAGAAGCAAAATACTCCAGGGCCTCGAAAAAGAAATGGAACCAGACAGAAAACAAGAGGAGCAGCATAGCTTCTGCCTAGTGCTGAGTCACAGAAGCATGTGACCATCAGATTCAATCCCTGTCTCTTCCCACCTCAAAACTAGATGCATCATGGAGAAGGTCACAAACAAGGTAAAAACTGCCACTGATTGGCACACTTAAAAAAAAAATGGCTAAAACAATTTTATATCATGCATATTTTACCACATTTAAAAAAAAAACCAAGTGGAGATAGAGCTCAGTGGAAAAGGACTTTCCTAGCATATCCAAAGCACTGGGATCAGTCCCCAGGACCATCAAAAGCAACTCAAAAGGGCCAGGGATGTAGCTCAGTGGCACAGCGCCTGCCTGGCAAATGCGAGGCCCTGAGTTCAATTCCCAATACCAAAAAAAAAAGGAAAACAAAAAACCCTATCTGCAGCTAACCCCGCCTGTCCTGTCCCCCTGACCCTCTACCTGTGCTGGGATCCTACTCCCTCCCACCACCTCTGTAGAAGCCCAGGGTCTATCCATCCTCCTCTCCTCCATTACCTTCAACTCTCCATTTGGCACACTCCTGTTCACACAAGGTTCAGCTGGCCATAGCTCCCACTGTCTTAAATCATCTTCCTCCCTTCACCCTGCATACAACTTTCTCTCTTCATTCACTCAACCTCTGGCTGCTGCTTCTCATCTTGATAACATGGACCCTCTACCTCCACCACATTGTGGACACTGTTCTCCAGTCAAAACACATACTGACACACATCCTCCTGATGACTTCCACACCTTCGGGCTCCTTCTGAAAGTCAAATGTACATCTAGCTCTGCAGCCTACCTCACAGGATGCGAACCGAACTCACTTCCTGACCATCACACAAAGCCTTTCATAGTCACATTTTCTTTTTTTTGTACTAAGGATTAAACCCAGGGGGTATGCATGCTAGGCAAGCACTCTACTGACCTACACCCCACCCCCAACCTTTTTTCATTTATTTTAGGGTCTTGCTTGTGATACTTCCACCTCAGTCTCCTGAGTAGCAGAGATCAGAGGCATGTGGCACTGTGCCCAGCCCTTTAGCCTCTATCCTATACGGATCCCATCCACAACTTGCTGGCCCGAGTCAACCCCCACGACGCTCTCTCTGGCTGTATCGTCTCACAGCTCTAGGCTCCTCCCTTCTAAGAAGCTCTCGAGAACATTTTATACCTCCATACTTGTTACCACCACCCTGGAGCCCAGTCCTCACTAACTCTTAAGACTGAAGAAACAGCTTCCTAATTGGCTTTCTCATTTTAAATCTTTTTTCTTCCTTTCCTGAAGTAGAAGTATTTAATTATAAAAAATAAGCTGAGCTCCAGATGTAGCTCAGTGGTAAAGCGTGTGCTTAGCATCCATGATGCCCTGGATTCAGTCTCCACCACCAAAAAATTTATGAAAATAAATAAAAGTTAATCCAAAAAATTATTAATCAAAACAATGTTCGGGGTGGGGGTTTAGCTCAGTGGTTTCGCCACCTGCTGCGCAAGCGCAAGGACCCAAGTTCGATCCCTGGTACCAAAAAATAAAAAAATTTAAAAAATAA